CTATTATACCACGCTGGCCAGACGGGTAGATATGGGTTTGTTTCAAGTTTTCTTTCTCTTTACAGTTCTGTTATCCTACGTAGTTTGCTCTCTTATTCGGCTCTTACGACACCTTAGCCCGTATAGGGGTGGTAACACTCCGTATTTTTAATCCGTCACCACACGGATATCGTATCGTAACTTATCAAAATTGGAGCCCATATCTCCTACCCTATGATCCTGGAGGGAGGTAAAGGATGGAATTTTGAATTACAGGTGTCTATGGGCGACTATAATCACGTACCATCAGGTAATATCATTGATTATCGTTTTAAACCTTTTTTCATTAATGCGATTAAATACCGGTTTTACTGACGCCAAGGTATTATCTCAATTACTTTCAACATTAACCTTAATATAAATTATATAGAGCTTTATTGTAGAAGACTATATCGAAGCCGATTAATTACGAAACAAATTTGGCGGCTAAGTTACAAGATCAGGTGGTCATTACCGGCGTGCAGTGAACTGGCATCGAACTGAAACCAGCTGGCGATGAGCCAAATCTTACCGCACGTACAATGTTTCAGCAAGAGAAATTTATAGTGGCTTTTTCAGCTACTGATATATTTTTTTTATAACTTTTCGTCGGGTAAAGTAAACCTTTTGTTAAATAAAGAATAATATTTGCTATACAGTATAGCAGAACAACAGGACTGCAGAGAGAAGGAAAACTTGACACAAACCCTATTCCAACCCGTCTGGCCAGCGTATAGTAGGCCAAAACCTCCTTTCTAAGGAGAGGCTTATGTCCAGCAGTGGGCTATTAAAGGCTGTTGATGTGATGTGATACAGTACAACCGAAACATGTAAATATTTGAGCAGCTTTAGATTTATTTAAATATAAATTATTAATAGTACTCACAAATACTGGACTCAGTTAATATCAACATATTTGTGTAGTTATGCCAAACTGATCTGTCTCCTTCTCGAGACAATTTTACCATAAGTGAGGGAATAGTTTAGCAAAGTTCAATAAAAGAAGTGCTCAGGAACCTTTACCATGTTCTGAATCAAACCAAATGTACGTTATATTATATAATATAATATATCTAATATAACATATCTCACACATCTCACACACGGAACTTTGATCCTAAACTACGCAGAGCCTGTACTATGGTAACCAGACTGATGATAAACATACTTATATATTTCTAAATACATACATATTATAGATAATTACACCCAGACACAGGACAAATGACCGTGCTCATCACACAATATTTGTTGTATGGGAATCGAACCCACGACCTCTGGCTTAGCAGTCAGGGTCACTAACCACTAGACCAAAAGGCCCGTCATATTATTCTTTTAAAATTTAGTTAAGTGACTTTTTTTTTACTTTCACCGATTATTGCTAATTCCTAGTGTTTTTAGTCTATGACAAACAGGGTAAAAGTTTTAGAATAAGAGTAACTCTTAGTGGCTGTTTAAAGATCTTTAAGTAAAATATTAATTAAAAGATATCTACTATAATATTTAAACAATTAAAAGTATTAATCATTTTTAATCTATATGCTAAACATATCATTTCGAATTTAAGCGTAATTTCCCTTTAAAAATGCCTCTATATCTCTTTTACTACTGAAATATTTCTTAAAAAGAATAGCACCTGTTATTTTACAAAGTTTTATTTGGATTTTTTTAGAATAACACGTGATACTATACTATTTGTCACAAAAAATACCTTAAAGACAGTGAAGCACTTAGCACGCGACAGTGAAAATATCCGGTTGCAACATCTTGTTGAAAAATTTGAGGTAGTCTGTTGACGCTTTTAAGTTTTTCAAAGTCGTTTAGTGGTTTGTCTATTTACTCGACTGCGCCCCGAAGATGGATTATGTTTGTCTAAGCCAGTTGGACTACAGGGCATGCTAAAGTCAGAAATTATATAAACACACATACACTATGTATGTTTATATAATTTCTGACTTTAGCACGCTCTGTAGTCCAAATGGCTCCATCGAATTTTGCTTGGGAGACGTCGTTAGATGCGTCTTAACTTTGAAATTGACACTGGGTATTTGAAAATTATAAAATAAAATCGACGGTATGTTATTTTCCTACACATTTTCAAACAGTCAATCCATTTTTAAATAATTAGCGTGTTTGACGCATCAGATTGCAAGGAACTTCGTATGCGTACAGATATTCATGGCGTCTGGAAGAGCTTGTATTCCACCTAATTTAAAATGTATTTTATGCATATCTAAATCTTACTTGGTTCGTTTGTCTTGGTTGCATTGTGTACATTTACTTGGCTGTCGTCCAAGCACTCTTGGCTGGTCAAGGTATTAGTCGACACTGCGTTTTGAGATAGTTAAAGCCTCTTTTATTGAGAACTATAATGCGACTGTATTAAGTAAAGTATTTTGATATTAAATGGCATGCTTGAATTGAATTATGAATAGATAAATCTTTACATAGTATAAAATAAAGTTAATATTATTTAACGGGAATTAACGCGATCTCTTATTTAGGGTATTACATACCTTTGGTTTGCCTGACGTTTCGACCAGGTTGCACCGGCCGTGGTCACAGGCTGACTCTGTATGTATGTCTTTGTCTCTCTCTCTGTATATATATATATATATACTCTGTCCGTATGTATGTAATACCCTAAATAAGAGATCGCGTTAATTCCCGTTAAATAATATTAATTATCATGGAACGCGAAAGTTTAAAAGATAAAATAAAGTTGTTTTTTTTTTATATACGCTTAGATCTTATAAACTAAGGAACGGATTTTAATGCGGTTTTCACCAATAGAGATAGTGGTTCAAGAGGAAGGTTTATATGTATAATATGTGCATATTATAGTAGAGGAAATCCGAGAATTTCAAAGATTTGTCTTAAAAAACATGATTTTGCGTGTTTACATTGCAGACGCGGGCTAATTCTTACTAGATAGACCAAAATAATGTACAACGGAATTGTATATCTTAAAAAGGTCTACAAAAAGTTTGACTTGGTATATGTCTATCTCCTAAGGATAACCCACAGTAACCATTTTTATCTTTTAAATATAACAAAAAAAGATATTGGGTATTTACGAAGCTATTTTGAATAATATATTATTATTCCTTATCCATTTAAATACGTTAGATACGTTGTCCATTAAATGTAGATTAAAATTGCTCTTTACAGCATATTATTAAAATGAATATTTTAGAAGATATTAGAGGTTTTAAATGCGGGGAAAAAGCGGTGTCTGTCGCGGGTGGTAGCGGTCGGCAGGATCGGAGCGGGCCTATAAATATTGCATTTAAAGATGTCTTGTAGTATAGTCCTATCATAATAATAGTATAATTAATTACTCCACACTGACACCACATTAGTAGTATCTACATTGCACCCGTGCAGATCGCTGGTAGTTATATAAAAAATAGTTATAAAAAAAATAAGTGTTCCTTTCACCGTTGTTAGATGAAGTTTAGTTCACTAAATAGAGATTAATTTTCTCATTGAAAAGGGATATATTTTAATGGATGATTGACGTTAGTCTGAAATAGTTGCATTTCGCATTTAAGTTGCACAAAATCTCCTTTCAATGCTAACTAGGGTTTAAAAAACAACCAGAGTTATTTGAGTAGGCAAACAAATATTTTTGATGGTGTAATGTCGATAGTAGGCCAAAACCTCCTTTCTAAGGAGAGGCCTATGTCCAGCAGTGGACTATTAACAGCTGATGATGATGAATGTCGACCATTTTTGAAATTTTGTTTCTTTTAGAAAAAGTTTTCTTTTGGTTTTACTTTAATCGTCTTTAGTGAAATTGAACACAATTGAACAGCCCACATTGAGTACCCCACGGAGTAAAATAAAAGCAACTTTGTTATTTTATGAGTTTTTGACACACCTTCAGATAGTGGGATGGCTATTGCTAAAATTTAAATCTGTACCAAGAGATTACAAATTAAAATATTATTAGCTTAGACTTGGTACCAGTAGCATCTTGACGTCAAATTAGTGAGAAATTGATGTTTCTGTTTATTTGAAAACTTTATTGAAAACATAGAACCATATGAAGAAGCAAAAATAGTACTCAGACGTTATTTTATTTTCATTTCATTTGCAATACTTATTGTCATCGAGTTAAAACCCTTTGTCGTCTCGTCTCTCCTTAACCAAATACTCCCCATTGATTTGCTTTTGCTGGACGGTTTCCAACGCGGAAGCCCGGCGGATTCTTTCACTGTATTGCTTCCTTCCTATGACGTAGCCAGTTGCTTAAAATTTCAGACGAGAAATTTCGAAGTGAATTTCAGGAGTAGTTTTATGACGAAGGCAATTTTTATTTAGTTCCTTAAATTTTACGTTATGTATAAGGTTGATTGTCAAATTAATATACCTACGTCTAAGTAAACATATATATGAGTTAAATTTGTATTTTGTTAACTTCTTGGTGATTCTCAAATATTTTCTACTTCACGTAAAATATTGTTTTTGTTCTTATCATTGTTTGCATCACACACTAACAAACATTGTACGTTATAGTAACCAGTGAAAAAAATTCATACAGGTTTACACATATGAAAATTCTTTATATAAGAATCTAGCCAATTACATGAAACTATTAACTATTTTTTTTTATATTCATGATAACGATAGTGTTTTGTTAGTAGTACGAGTATGTCTATGCGCCACTAACTATACTGGAATTTGGGTAGTGTTTATATTTAATATATTTTATATAAGTGTAGCGTTCTATGCACGTGTATCTTTTCGGAATGCTTCATTGGTTTTGTGGCCTGACAGGAGCCTTTTATCATCGGGTGAAGCTATTTGAATGTGAGTGTGTGCGTAGGGAATGACACTTCACCCTTTGAAAAAGAATCCCTGTGGGTTTTAAACTAGTTTAGAATCCCCTAAATACATACGTGTACATAAGCATAAACAAACATACAGATAGTTATGAATTTACTGAAAAAGTCAATTTTTCTTTCTCATATTCTCAGAGTGGACTTCCGAAACGGTCCTCCGGTCCATTGGGCAGTAGCTGGCGAGTTTGGCGCGCGAACGCACTTTGTACTCAACGAGTCTGATCCCTCATCAGCACATCTCGTAGTGGAGAAGGTAGCAAGACACGATGAAGGGGTGTACAGGTGCAGGATAGACTATGTGGATGCCCCCACCAGAAATTACAGGGTCAATTTAACTGTTATAGGTGAGTATGGTAAATTTAATCAAGATTTTAGAAAAGGTACATTCTACAGAATATTATCTCATACCACATTTCTCAAGTGCGATTAGAGACCCTAACAAAATGCAACAAATGCTTTAGACCGTTTTTGTACCACCGTAGTGAGCAAAAATTTAAAAATAATAATTAAATTAATATAATATTGCAACGAGTCCAAGAAAGTTCACGTCGCGAATTATTCCTATTTTTCGGAGGTCGTTGCTGCAACTGCAGTTACTTTATAAATATATTTTCTGTTTTGAAGAAATACATCTGGTAATCAAAATATGATTACAAGATCTTGTTCGAAACAGAACTGAATATTAATGCTTACAATTTTTCCTCAGTACCGCCAGAACCTCCTCGAATATACGACTACGAGGGAACAGAGATTCTGGGTAACATAGCAGGACCTTTCAGAGAGGGTCAGAACATACTTCTTTCGTGTCAAGCGGCTGGAGGTAAGCCATTTTTGAAGTGAAAACTTCTTTAAGCGTTGGGCACTTTAGAACAACAAATAAAATAATGTATTGAACTCGCCCTAACTGTAGTATTTTTCACTAGAGTTGAGTTTGGGTTGAAATACATTGATAATATAACTATATATCGTATACATATGTGTAAATACGTACAACATAGATAAACAGGGTCACTAGGTAAGTCGACCTTTAAGGGGTACTTTAAGGTGTTGTAGTTGCCGTCATTTCTAATAGATTTCACAATGAAATATTCCAAAAATAACCATTTTCAAGCAAATTTAGCCTAATACATTTTTTTTAAAACTTAACTTGTTTAAAATTTCAATTACTAAAATTGTAGGTGGTTAATAATAGGAAAAATAAAAAAAACATGTTTTTTTTTACAAATATAAAAAAAAACTATGACAGTTGTTCTCTTCAAAGTACTCGTATCTCCTTCCTATTAACCATCTACTTCGGCAACTTTGTTGAGTTAACTACAATTTTAAAAACTGAAATTATAAAAAAAAAATATTAACTTCACAAAAACAGTAAATAATAAAATAAAAAAAGGACATAAATTATAAAAAAATGGTGTTAGGTAAAATTTATTTTTTGGGATATGGTATTTCATATCTATCAGGAATGATGGCAACTTCAACCCCTTAAAGTATTTAGGTCGAATTACCCAGTAACCATGTACAAATATTCATGTCGGCACATCGAATCGGAAAAAAAACAATAAAAAACCTGTTATAATAAAAAAAGAAAAACTTTCAAGTTTTCACTTCTGTCGGCAATGTTGTTCTTTTTTATATATACAGCTCTCGTCCATAAAAATAAAGATGATGAGTAAAGCTCAAAACTGACCCTCTTGTTCAGCCTTAAGTGGCATTGTGTATGTCTTGTGCATGAATATCTTAATGAGTCGTCTGACTAGTAGTATTACATTTATGCCGATCTTGGAAGACGTGGCTGAAGAAGTAGTTGATTGAAGCAAATTTTTATTAAAACGATAAGCCTGACATAACGTTTTATATTAGTATAAAAGGCATAAATTCCGTAAGTTTTAATATTAGCTAGTAAAACCTAAGATTTACCAACTTTTATTAATAAAAGTTCAAATTATTCAATGATCATCAATCATTTTCGACTTTTAACCATTACGAGTTGGTAAATCTTAAATTTAGCTGACTAAACTTATTGACAGTTTATATTATATGTATAAATAAAAGTTTAAAACTAAATGAACTCCTTGTCTCTGTAAAGGTAAACCTCCCCCCGACGTCGCCTGGTACAGAGGTGAAGAGCGGCTAGCTTTCACTAAAGAAGGCTCGGTATGCCAGTTGCACCTTCCAAACCTGTCTAGAGAGATGGCAGGTACCAAACTTCAGTGCAGGGTAGAACCGCCTTTACTTCAGCCGCAGAGTAGAGACGTCACTATAAGATTATATTGTAAGTATTTTAGGTCCAAACATTTAAGGTTTTAGGATATTACTTAATAAGGCGTACAACCAATTGAATTAAAAAGAAGTTATTGAAATAGATTCATAAATGGGAAAGGTAGCGCTTAACATACTCAATTAAACAGTCAACTGAGAACCTCTTCGTTCCTGACCTTGGAAACGACCTTGGCTTTTAGTCGAATAAATAGAATATATTTTTGTATCTATGCGATGTACATAATTTTTACAACTGGGTGATCTTAGTTTCTAAAAATCCAATCCAAGCCATGACCATTTTCAACTACCCCCACATAATACCTGTACCAATGTATAATTATTTCTAAATATGAACAAGCCAAACCAAAAGTTAATTATTGAACAATTATTAATCAATAAGTTTGTAATATTGAATGGTTTATTAATATTAATTAATGATCACAGATTATAATAAAAGAAATACTGTGATAATGAATTACAATATTAACTATCAGAAACAGAAATTTGTTTATTTTTGGGGGGAAATAAACCTACCTAGGGGAGACCTACAATTTAAGAGTCACGAGTGTGATGCCGCCCTTTGAATGTGTAGGTGCGTTTGTGTGTATGTGTATTTGTGTATGTGTGGTGTCATCACACATCACATCAACAGCCTTTAATAGTCCACTGCTGGACATAGGCCTCTCCTTAGAAAGGAGGTTTTGGCCTACTATACCACGCTGGCCAGACGGGTTGGTATAGGGATTGTATCAAGTTTTCCTTCTTTTTGCAGTGCTGGTGTCCTGCGTTGTTTTGCGCCCTTAGTCGCCTCTTACGACACCCACGGGATGAATTGGGGTAGTGACATTCCGTATTCTTAATCCGTCACTACACGGACTGTGATGTGTGGTGTGTGTGTTCTAAAATAGGTGAAGAGGGTTTTTGCTCTGATAACCTTGTGAGGTTTCTCTCGGTGGAATGCCCTCGGTGATACATTGAGCCCAGACACAATAATTAATAGTGCTAAATATCCATTATTTGTTCTGGGTGAAAATCAAACGCGTGTGGGTTCTCTCTGACTCTCTGGTCAGGATTATTAACCACTAGACCAACAGGTAAGTCTGGTGCATACTAAAACCGTCGTGATATACCTATGCAAACTCATTATCGGTATATAATAATAATAATAATATTCTACCACATTCACACATCGCCATCTAGTCCCAAACTAAGCAGAGCTTGTACTATGGGTACTAGACAACTGATATAAATACATATATACTTTTTTTTTGTAAATACATACTTATTATACATAGAAACACCCAGACCAAATCAAACATTAAATGTTCACGCACACAAATGTTTGACTTGAGCGGGAATCGAACCCGCGACCTTTCGAATAGCAGTCCGTTACACAAACCACTACGCCATTCGGTCGTCGTCATATATCATATATCATTAAAGCTTTTGGATCTATGCCCAATTGTCAAAATGTACAGGAAGTTAAGTAGTCATTTGCTCTAGGCTTGTAATAGTTTTATTTTTGCTCTATTCTCTATGGGACTTATTTTTCTTGTTGCTATTCAACATATGTGTAAGTATATTTTGTGTTTTCCGTCATTAATTATATTTATTTTCATGCACTTACATGTATTGTATCAACTTTTCTTTATGGAATAGGAGTCAATCGAGCAGACCATGGAAACTGCAACCAAGAATCGCAAGTGCGTTGTCACCTTTTGAGTCACTTATTCTCAGAATTATGAGGGTAGGAGGGGTTGGGCATCGGTATTTATTTGTAAATTTATTTGAATTGCAGAATACTACTCAATATTCGATATCGCTGGATAGCAAATTGTTTAAACTATTTTTACTAATTGTTGTTTTGAGTCTGGGTGTTCTTTGTATCCGTTTCATGTATGTTTGTAAAGTTCCCCGCGACACGGGATATATTCCTAATGCGGGAGTTGCCTTTTAAAAGAAAGAAAACATATAGTCAGAGATGTGTGATATTGGTTATTTAGAAATGTATATATGCCCAGTTGACGGCACTATGCTAATTGCCCCTTTATTGGGTAAGTAGGGTTAAAAGTTGTGGTCAGCAAAATGTGAGCTCAAATTAAATAAGTGTCATACATGATATAATACAGGTATATCTAATGATAATATTTACAAATAAGAGCTAGATACGCCACCAACGCACAAAACGCGTGCTGTGAATTGGTCCTAATTAGGACCACTGCGAGAGAGCGCACCTACTAACTCATTAAATGTCTTCCTGTGTATTCCGAAAGTGCAAAAATTACGACAAGGTAAATAAAGATAAAGAAATATTAAAGACATATTTTTTCTAATCGATTCATTAATGATTGAGTTAGGGGTAACACACAAAGAAAAATACAAGAGCAATAAGAACAACCTCAAAGTATTATAAAAGCTAAAACATTTTTTTCCTTTAAACAGTAAAACCTCAGTTTGTTCGAGTAACTGGTAGTGGAGCAGCCAGAGCTAGTATGGAGAAATCTTTCGTCTGTTCAACTCGAGGATCAAAGCCCGCTCCTAATATTGAGTGGTTTATCAACTCACAATTAATAGATTCCACATTGACCCAGGTAAGTAATTTATAGGCCAGATAAATACCGATAAAATGTATGTATTTAAGTTGAAATTAATTATAAATTTATGTTCAAACGATTTTTTTAGAAACTATTTATTTCATAAATAAGATATATTGTAATAGACACCCGCTGCGATACTCATTATAGGAAAAATGTTTCAGTCTGAAAAAACCGGCGTGACATCAAAACAAAATAACAACTAAGAACTCGACAAGATTTTTATTCTTTAGCTTGTTAGAAGTGCATTATTTCACTGCTAATTTACTGCTAAGCCATAGTTTTGATTCCTAGCCAGGACAAATATTTTATAATAAGCACGATCATTTGTTTTGTGCCTGGGTGTATTTTATCTATGATATCTATGTATTTAGACATATGTAAGTATGTTTATCAGCAGTCTAGTTACCATAGTAAAGGTTCTGCCTAGTTTGGGATCAGACGGCTGTGAGTGAGATGTGTAAATTTATTATTATTATTTGAAATCCGTTATTTTTCTGTGCTAAACTACACTACAGTCATACAGTTTCATACATGAAAAAATAATTTGAACAGTAATAATAATAATTTAATAATTTTATCCAGAGGCAATCTTTATCATTCTTTCTCTTTTTTTCTTTCTCTCTTTCTTTCCTTCTCTCTTTATCTTAGTTTTAAATAATATGCTGTATTATAAATAAGGAAATTACCTAATTGGTTTGTAGATTATAAAGTTTAGAAGTAACAAACATAAAAAAAAAATGAAAACCTGATCTGATCCCAAACTACGACAGAACGTGTACTATGGTTACGAGACCGTAAATAAACATACGTATGTATTATTATTTTTAAAACTACATACTGTTCTTAGGTGGAAGTAGACGGAGAAGTAACTAAAAGTATTTTAACTTGGCACGTGAGGAGAGAAGACAGTGGCAGACAGCTTGCCTGCAGAGTATCTAACCCATGGTTTCCAGCTCATACACTGGAAGACTCCGTGACGCTGGACGTAATGTGTAAGTTAAATTATTGTCTTACTTACGGGTACTTTTTAAACAATATTTTTTGATACGTCGCACCAAACTTGTATCACATTCGTATGAACAATTCCGTGTCGTGACGGATTAAGAATACAGAGTGTCACCACCCCTATTCATCCCGTGGGTGTCGTAAGAGTCGACTAAGGGAGTAAATTATGTAGGACAACAGCACTGCAAAGAGAACAAAACTGGCCAGCGTGGTATAGTAGGCCAAAACCTCCTTTCTAAGGCGAGGCCTTTTTTTTTTTTTTTTTTTTTTTTTTTTTTTTTTTTTTTTTTTTTTTTTTTTTTGTTGACGGGGTGGAAAATCCCTTCGGATCTCCGGCTCCTCGGGGACTCAAGAGCCAGGAGTATGTGGTAATTCCACTAAAAACCACCCCGACGGCCGGCCTTAGGTGTCCTACTCTGGGGAGGACCCGGACCATGTTATTTCAGGTCCTCCCCGAATTGACACCATGCCTAATCAGGCCCTATCCCAGGGGAAAATCACTTCCCCCTTCAATCACGGCATGGCAGCCCGATCGCATCTTAATGCAATCAGGCCGGCCATTCCATTCCCTACCGCAGCAATCAATCTGCCACCAGAGGTCCCCACTCTCTGGCGGCCCGCGGCCCCGTCGATGGCTGATATCGCCGCCGACGTCTTCTACGTTCGGGATCGGCCCTCTCCCGATCCCGTTCAGCGGTCTCTTTCTGGAGCATTACAGCTTCACAGAAAGAGACCACTGCGCCCCAGCCCTCCTCACCCGCCAGCATGGCAGCAATGATTGCTGGCGGGGACAGGTCTCGTCCGATTTGGTCGACCAGGACCTCGCGTTCAGACGCCCACGAGGGGCAGTCTTCCAGCGTATGCTGGGCGGAGTCCCAGTCGGCTGCGCAGTGCTGGCATTGTGCCGTCTCCCTCGCGTCCAATCCGATTCAGGTACTCCCCGAAGCAACCATGCCCAGTGAGTACCTGCGTCAGTCGGTAGGTGACGCAACCTCCCTCCCTACCTACCCAAGCTTCAAGGTTAGGCAGAACGGCACCGACAGCGCGTTGGCGCGCACTCCGCGGCTGCTCCAGTCGTGCGCGCCACTGCACCAGTGCCTGTCGGTGGGCGTTCCGCCGCATTTCGAGCTCATCCTGGTCTTCCCCACCCTCACCCCGGCGGATCACGCAAGTCTGGTCATAGACCCTCGCGTCCATATCCGCCAGGATATCAAAGGGTGGGAAACGTGCCAGGACTGTCGCCGCCTCCGAAGAAATTGTGCGGTAACCTCGTACGATCCTAATGGCCGCTACCCGCTGCGCTTGATTGAGCTTCGCTCGGCAGCGGGAGGAGGCCGATAGGCGCTTGGCCCATATTGGCGCTCCGTAGAGGGCCATGGATCGTATCACCGCACAGTAGAGGCGGCGAACTTCCTCCCGCGGACCCCCTAGATTAGGCAATAGCCTCTGTAGGGAGCCCGCCACCCCGCGAACTCGGGGGATCATCCGCTCGAAATGCTCCTCGAAGCTCCAGCGGCTGTCCAGGGTGAGGCCGAGGTATTTAATGTACCGCCCGACCTCGACCTCTGTTCCCCCCCACTTTAATAAGCGTTCTGGTGGGAACTGCACCTCTGCGTTTCCTGTGAAACCACAGGGCTTCCGTCTTATGAGGTGCAACCCTTAGACCCAGACCGCTGATCCCTTGGACGACACAAGCCACCCCTAACTCGGCGAGCTCCAGTACTTCCTGGAAGCCATGTCCCCCAGCTAGTACCAAAGTGTCGTCCGCGTAGCAGACGACACTCAATCCTGGGGGAAGGCTGGTCCTCAGGACGGCATCATACGCGAGGTTCCACAGAAGAGGTCCCAGGACCGACCCCTGGGAACCCCGCACGTGACCTCCCTTCGACAATCTTCGCCGTCCCGACCCATATACGATATGGATCTGTCACAGAGATAAACCCCGATGATATTCCGCAGGTAGGGAGGCAACTGGTGATATACAAGTGCCTCCCTAATCGCCCACCACGGAAGAGAGTTAAAGGCGTTGACAATGTCAAGACTAACGGCCAACGCCACTCCCCCCCGACAGACAACCTCTTCCGACAAGGAGCGGACGCGTGCAATCGCGTCCAGCGTCGAGCGTCCCTGTCGAAAGCCAAATTGGTTGTCAGATAAGTCGGGGCCCACTCGCGACAGGTGCTGGTTGATACGGGCGGCGATAACTCTTTCAAAGAGTTTCGCCACCTTGTCCAACAGGCATATCGGTCGGAACGCCGAGGGAGAATCTGCGGCCCTGCCAGGTTTCTGGATAAGTACCAGCCTGGCTTCCTTCCATCCGGCAGGGAATACGCTATTACGGAGGCAGCTGTTAAACAGCCGCCTCAGCCTATTCCCTAGGACCACCAAAGCGCACACCCATGCTCGGCCCGGGATCCCATCAGGGCCCGGGGCAGTGTTGCGGGCGGCGAGTCGCTTCACGGCTCGGTCCAGCTCTTCCTCCGTCACGTCAAAGTCGTCGGACCACGTGAATGGTTCCGACGGCGACGGAGGGCGTGAGGGACTGACCCGGTCCCCGGGGAAGAGGGTATCTACCACTCCTAGCACAAACTTCGGGTCCAAGGTCTGCGTCAGTGGCGGGACCCACGGTCTGAGCTTGCCCAGTACAATTTTGTAAGGGCGCCCCCATGGGTCCCTGTCCAGTCCCTCTATGAGCCCCCTCCAGGACCGAGCCTTGGCTTCCGCTATCGCAAGGCTAATGGCCTTAGCGGCCGCGCCGTACTCGCGCCTAACTTCAGCGATCTCCTCGGCTGTGGCTCGCCGACGTCTTCGGGTTCTCTGGAACTGGCGACGGGCTCTCGAGCATGCTGTGCGAAGCTGCTCAAGTTCCGGTGTCCACCAGTACAGAGAACCTCTCCCACCCCCCTGCTTGACCCGTGGCATCGACGCGTCACAGACGTCAGTCATAGTGCCACGGAACCAAGCAGCCTGCGCTTCTGGATCGGACAAGACCTGTACTTCCTCTTCCTCTGGCCAATCCGCGACGATGGCTGCGGCAACGAGCATATCTCGGTTCATCCGCTTGAGGGCCCATCGTCGCGGAGGGCCGCTACTGCGGCGGTCCGGGACTGCGCCCGTGCGGCGGATAGCCACATTAAATACGATGTGGCGGTGGTCCGACAAAGTGACCACCTCCTCCGCCACCCTCCATCCTGACACCTGGTCGATAACCGAGGGAGTCGCCCACGTCAGGTCGACTATCGACTCCCCCTGCCACCGCACACAGGTGCTGACCGAACCCCGGTTCAAAATGATGAGGTTCAGTCCCACCGCCCACTCAATGAGTGTATCTCCTCTTACGTTGTCCAGGCGATCACCCCACTGTATGGAGCGTGCGTTAAAATCGCCCAGGACAAGTACCGGACGGGACAGGAAAGTGCAAATGCAACTCCTAAGTCCGTCCAAGTACGCCTCGAAGGCGGGGAGGCCGCAGTTTGGAGATATGTAGCAGCCCACAGTGACCATGGGGCCCCACTCTACTGCCACAAACCCCAGCCCTCTCTGCAGAAGAGTGCAGTGGAGACCGTTCTCCACCCCTGCCCAGTATATGGCGACGGTGCCATCATCAGAACCAAACCACCGGGGGTGATCCGGGACGTAGTACGGCTCCGCCACCACCGCTAGGGCAACCGACTGCTCAGCCAGCGTTTGCATAAGCAGATCTTGCGCTGCGCGGCAGTGGTTGAGGTTACCCTGCAAAACTTTCTGGGGGTGCGCGAATTTTAGGCCTCCATTGCCTCCTCTGCCGGATGGGTATCTGGCTGTGTCGGTCTTGCAGCTGGCGGCATCTGACTTAAGCCAGTGCTCGCCAAGGCTGGGGCGGGGGTGATCTGCGGCCCCCTTTTCACTTTCTTCGGCGGGGAGCATTTCTTGCTCCCCAGGCGATGATCCGCGGGACGGCCAAGGTCTGAGCAGACCGGACACCTAGGTGTTTTTGCGGTGCATGCACGCGCCACATGGCCTGTACTACCGCACGCGTAGCACCGCGCGCCACGGTCCGTCTCGTTGGGACACTTAGCTCTCACGTGTCCCAATTCGAGGCACCGATAGCACTGCAAGGGACGAGCAACTAGTGTCTCTACCCTGGCCGAGACCCAGCCCACTTGCACTCGTTTGGCGTTCGCAATTTTGCGTACCGCCGCAAGTGGACAACGAACCCATGCCGTACCTAGCCGCGACGGGGAAACACGGATGTCCCCTACTTTGACGTCAGAAGTGAGACATCCTCCCGCCATTGCTATGGCCCTGGCTACTTCGGCTTGGGTGATGGACTCCTCCAAGTCCATCACCCGTAGCTCTCCTGTCCTACACGGACGCGTAATAACGGCGTCCGTGCCGGACAACACCTCCCGCAGGCGTGCCGCTAATTTATCTGCAAGTGCGGCGCTGCCCTCACCAGGGATCTGTAGAATCAGAGCCCCGGTCATGGCTCGCTTGGTGCGGAGTCCACCTGTAATGCCGAGATCACCAAGGCTAATGTTGGCCTTAGCGACCTCCATTAGCCTGGCTATCGTCGTCTCCGAGCCAGGTGGCACAGAGACAGTGACAGCTGCGGCTGTGGGAGGCCGTGGCACGGCTGTTTTCTTCCTTTGGGGCTGCTGGCGAGCGGTAGTATGCCCCGTCGACTGGGCCGCCCCTTCCGCGGCCCTGGCTTTGGTCTTTCGACCAAGGGCCAGGACCCAAGACTCACTCTCCGGTGAAGCCGTTGCTTTTGGCTGCCTCGTTGTTGCCAGTGGAAGCTGTGCCGGTGCTAGTGACTCCTGGCCAGCACCCTGTGTTTTCTTTGTCCTCCTCTTCTTCTTCTTTTGGCCTTTGGCCTCCGCCGTCTCCGCGCTTTGGGCCGTGGTTGGAGGAGACAAGGTGTCTCCTCCTAAGCGCTGTCCCCCTAGCATCATCGTCCGGACCTCGGCCAATACGCGGTCTATCAGGGCCGCGTATTGGTCCCGGT